GGCAGTGGCACTGGGGCCGTCGGTGGAGCTCCGTATGGAGCCACGAAACGCTGTACCGGGTGGTGCGTGACGCATGCGAGCGGTCCCACTGGGGCCTTCGGTGGAGCCCCCTATGGGGCCACGAAACGCTGTACTGGGCGGTGCGTGACGCAAGCGGGCTGCGCCACTGGGGCCTTCGGTGGAGCTCCCTATGGCGCCACAACGCGTGTGAGTGGTGTGCCGAGATGGGTGTGCGTGACCCATGCGGACTACGCCACTGGGACCTTCGGTGGAGCTCCCTATGGCGCCAAGGAGCGTGTGACGGTGTGCCGAGATGGGTATGCGTGACGCATGCGGGCTGCGCCGATGGGGCCTTCGGTGGAGCTCACTATGGGGCCACGAAACGTGTGACGGGTGTGCCGAAATGAGTGTGCGTGACGCATGCGGGCTGCGCCAGTGGCCTCTTCGGCGGAGATCCGTATGGCGCCAAGAAACGAATGAGGGGTGTGCCGAAATGGGTGTGCGTGACGCATGCGGGCTGCGCCACTGGGACCTTCGGTGGAGCTCCCTATGGGAGGCGCACGAAACGTGTGACGTTTGTTTGCCAAAATGTGTGTGCGTGACGCATGCGGGCTGCGCCACTGGGACCTTCGGTGGAGCTCCCTATGGGGCCAAGGAGCGTGTGAGGGGTGTGCCGACATGGGTGTGCGTGACGCATGCGGGTTGCGCCACTGGGACCTTCGGTGGAGCTCCCTAGGGGGCTACGAAACGTGTGAGGGGTGTGCCAAAATGAGTGTGCGTGACGCATGCGGGCTGCGCCGATGGGGCCTTCGGTGGAGCTCCCTGTGGGGCCACGAAACGGGTGAGGGGTGTGCCGAGATGGGTGTGCGTGACGCGTGCGGGCTGCGCCGCTGGGGCCATCGGTGGAGCTCCCTGTGGGGTCACGAAGCGGGTGAGGGGTGTGCCGAAATGGGTGTGCGTGACGCATGCGGTCTGCGCCACTGGGACCTTCGGTGGAGCTCCCAAGGGTGTGCCAGAATTGGTGTGACGACGACGATGATGACGACGATGATGAATATGTTGACGATAGCGATGGTGATGGTGACGATGACGATGACGATGATGATGATGATGACGACGACGATGATTATGATGATGATGATGATGATGCTGATGCTGATGCTGATGCTGATGATGATGATGTCAGGCTCCATAGGGGGCTAGGTGCCTTGGATCAGCAGCTCGCGAATGGCCCTCTTGCGCTTGGCTACTGCGCGGGCCCTCGCCCGCAACAAGGCCTCCACCCTGACAGGGCCAGCCTGAGATGACTGTGAACGGATGGCGTTATAGGTTGTGAGTAAAAGATCGTGCATTAGAATGGTACCATGCAAGGCTCGGCTGGACGGCATAAGAGGTCTCAACAGCAATCGATCGAGAGCATTCCACTCGAGAAAATCAGGCGGCAGCGACGGGATGATACTAGGAAGCAGTGGCAGCAACACAGGGCATTGAAAGTAATGCGATATGTGGTCGGAGTCTGCGGCACCGCAGCCCATGACGCAACCGCGGTTCCCTGAACGAAATCTGGCCGACGTGGGCCACGCGTTACAAACGGATTTGAGGAGAGAGGAGGCAACGAAGGGAGCTTGTTCGGTAGCGGCGAGGAAAATGGCTCGACAAATAAAATTGGCGTGGCTTACGGGGGCCTCACTCCAGAACTTCCGAATCCTTGGGAAGAGCAGGACTGGCATCGAGGGACGTCCCTGATTTTTGGCAACGGCAATGGTGACTTTTCGCTGTATGTCGTGCGTATACTCGTTGATCGTCGGGCAAATCGTCGTGAGCTCGTTCCAGTTCTTAATCAGGGAGCCGCACATAGACTCAGCAAGCCAAGATTTATGCCGAACAACAGCCAGCCGTTCGACATCTTCGTGCTCAAGAAAATGCAGACGCTCCTTCACTCTCGCGAAGGCTGAACTCTGGATGGCGACCCGAAACATCGCGGCCTTGTTCGTGGCCTGGAGGTGGCGGGGCTCGACAGGGAACCCAAAGTCCAGGGAGTACTTGAGGACCAGGGAAGGGATAGCGTACCTCGGACCCAAGGTCAGCCTTTGTAGAGCGTTCGTTTCGGCTCGGATCACTTCGGGCCTAACCGGTAGTACCTGCATCAGGTACGTCAAGATCGAGAAGGCTAGCGAGTTGTAGGCGTAGATGTTCTGAACTAAACCGAGCTTCAGCGTTTTAATATGCCCGATCCTGGAAAGAAATTTGACCAGAACAGGATGCCACGAAGCAGCAGGCCCAGTCGGGCCGATCATTACCCCAAGATATTTCCCGTGGGTGCCGACCTGGAAGGGCTTTATGTTGATCCCCCACTTTTTGAACTCTTTATTTAGCTCGGTTCTGTCGAACTCCACGGCAAGGACAATCGCGCACTTCTTCAAATTCGGGAGAAGACCTGTCACGATCGAGCTCCTGAGAAAGTGCTTCATCGTCGCGGGCAAGGACTGCCTCAAGTCAGCCATCGCAGCGCCTACGTCCGTCGGCGAAAGCGAAACGGGGAAGGAGAGGGTCGTTAAACGAGTCAAAAATCATCTCCAACTTCCGTAAAATAGGGTCGGTCGAAAGCCAGGGCGAAAGAGGACCTGAAGAGGCAAACTTGTTTTAATGCCGCGAGTGAATGTTCGTACCCAGGGAACCTTTTTTCCAGCGAAAAATGATGAAGTAAAGGGGGTACAACAGAAAAAAATAAAAAGTCGGATACAGCTGTCCACTGCGCGGAAGGAATAAAATTCGGGGATGCCGCATACGTTGCAGCACGTGCTGAATCCACCTGTGGGACAGCGACGGAAACGCCGCTTTCAGGTCCAGCAAGAACAGGCCGGCGAAAGGGCAGTCGTTATAACAAGCGTATTCTAGAAACTTGCCTTCAATATCGAGGATATTGTCGATCAGGTATCTGCCTTTGACGAAGCCTTTTTGCATCGGGTCGGTTGAAAATACTGCCTGCTGTCCCATGGGAACACAGATCGCACTAGCCAAGAGCTTGTTGTCGGTGTTGCTAAGTGTGATCGGCCGAACTTGGCTAGATGGACGGACTAGACTCATGATCGTTTGGAAGAACATCTTTGGGAAGAAACACCGTGCCCATGATTAAACCCCGAAGGCAGGCTGGCTCCTGCACATAATGCCTGGTATGCTTCGAATAACACTCGGTGAGCGCGCTCTCCTGCGTGTCTCCAACACGAATAGGGAATTCCGTCAGGTCCACAAGCAGAATCGCGGCGACTGACGACGATCCCTTGGGCGGTCCCGAAATCGATTTCCCACTCAATACCAGGGGCAGCCCAAGGAATATCATCCGAAAGCTCGTTCAGGATTTCCAGAAATTTTGGGTGAAGTCCAGGTCCCTGAGAATGAACCTCTCCCCAGTGTGTCGCCAGCGCTTGCGCACATTCGTCTAGCGAGCCAAGAGGGGAACCGTCAGGAGCAGAGATGCCACTCAGGTTGAGACGCCGCCGCTTCGGCGACCATGATTTCAAACGTTGGTGAAGTCGAGATCGCTGCTGCTCGGCTTCCTGTAAACCATGCTCAGCACTAGGTAGCTTCGCGAGGTCATCCAGAATTACTGCACTGCTGAGCTCATTCAGGTGATTATGGAACGCGTTATAGTCGTAATACTTGCAGCTGTCAGAGTCAATAAACCTAGACAAAACAGGGTAGGCCTTCACACACTTTTTGATCCAGGAGGAGGACTGACTCCGGGACGAACCAGGAGAGAGAGCCCGAAGGGCCCGCATGGCTTTTAGGCACACCGCGATCTTTTGCTTGTCGGTCAGGACCCCGCCCTTGAACATCCGATGAGTCAGCTCCTCCCTGGCGGCGAAAAAGATGTCCTTCAGCAGGCGCAGCTGTTGGAGCGGGGAGCCGACGAGGCCTACTTCTTCGATGAGGGATTCGATGGCAAGACCGAACTCGGGATGCTCTGAGACCCATCTAGGGATGCTCTGACTCTTAGAGGAACCAGGAGACAACAGCAGATAAACAGGAATGTGATCGGACACCTCATTGATGTCGTGCGCGAGACCAATTGTACCAGATTTGGGGTGCCAGTCGAGTATTTCTCCAGTGGGGGCATTCGTGTAGATCCTGTCGAGCCGAGCGACCGAGGTGACCGTGTTACGTACTTGAGTCCCGTGGGTGCAGTCCGTCTGCGCAATCTCGCAGAAGGACGGGAAGACGGTGCCGAAGTGCCTGGCCAAAGTAGTGCTCCCTACAGTGGGCTCGCTGCCATCGAGGGGGATGCGCACATCATCCTCCTCGACAAAGTTAAAATCTCCAGCCAGGAAAGAGAGGCACGTGTTGCTGCTAGGAATACTTCGAGCTGCACGCGACATGAGATCATACTTAGCATGGTGAGGCAGGAGGGGTTCGATGTGTATGTTCATGATCAACATCGTGCCGTTCGCGCCAGTCACCCGCACGGAGAAGCATCGCCCTCCACTGATATGGGTGATCACGGGTTGACCTTCAAACCAATTCATCACTGACTTACGTATTGAAATAGTGCAGCCACCACTAGACGAGACAGAGCAGAAGGAGCCGAAGTGGACGTGGGAGGGGAAGTCGCGCTCTAGAGAGCTTAAGTCGCCATCGGAACCATGAGTTTCCTGACACATGACAATGTCATACTTGTTGATAAGCTGTGTTATCTTTGCTAGTTTCTTTCTTTGCCGTGCATGCGAGCCGCGCACGCTACCAAACAGAGTGGCCGAATTATAAGTGACGATACTTAACTTGTTGCGAATTATGAAAGCAGCACTCTCTTCAGCACCAGACGGAGGAGGAGGCACAGGGGGAGGAGATCTGCCGTCCAGCGGATCTTGTGTGTGGGCACCCATAGCCAGCAAGGCTTCGCCGCGCGCACGATCTGCCAACCTTGGCGAGCAAACGCCGTCCTCCAGACGGCGACGCGAAAGAGGCGGTGCGAGAGTGGCACAGGATATCTGCACAGGAATTTCCTACTCCGCCAGCAGCGCCTGGACACGGTCCGAGATCCCGTTCGTGAACGATTCCTCCAGATGGAAATGCTTGAAGCTCACGGCGTCTACGCCGATCTCGAAGCGCCCGTCGCCGTTGCCGTTCACCTCCTTCAGTTTGACCATCTCGAATGGGTCGCCGTTCTCCATCAGGTAGAGGATGCCCTGGAATGGGTTGGTGCCGAGCTTCATGGAGGATGCGTTCCACAACTTCTTACTCTTCATCTCGGCTTGGATGATGTTGTAGGCGAGACCCAGCGCGTAGGCCTTGTGCCTGACAGGCAATGGCTGGTCCTTGCCGAGCCGAAGGTCGTGGGTCTGCGATGTACGCGGGTCGATCCATCTCATCGCGATGCCTTTGAAGTGGCCCCAGCAGCTGTCGGCCTGGGCCTTGTTCTCGAAATCGATTGCGTACGAATACTTGAAATTCTGGAATTTCGGCGTCACCTTGGACGCCAGTTCCGATGGGAGATTCGACCTGAGGACTGAGTAGTGCGCCTCGAACTGCGTCTGCATCAGCTTGCGCGGGAAGCCTCTGATCCAGAGGCGGCACGGGTTGCTCACATCATATGGTCCAGCCGAAGCAGCGCGAGGACGACGTGCTTGGGATCCCGACGACGTGGTCGAAGAAAGCGATGGCGGCCGCGAAAGTGTCGACACCTGCGAGCTCAGCGTGGAAACCTGCTCCTGCAGCTTGACGAGGACGTCGGCCTTGTCGGTGGGGACTCCTGTGTGCATGGCGTCTATCTTGGAGCGTAGCTCGGCGAAGCTTCTGTTGGTGCTCTCCTCGAACTGGGCCATCTTGGCTTCGTTGGCCTGGACCCTCTCGCCGAGCATCTTGCATTCAGCAAGTCCCTGATCGACAGCATTGAACCTGGCCATGATCTGCGCGAGAGCATCCCCGTTGTCAGCAGGCGAGCCCATGACAGGGGACGAGGCTGTGGCGGCAGACCTGGGAACGTGAAAGATGGCTCCCACCCACTGAAGGGCCACTGGTCGGGAGACTAGTGGAGGGCGAGCTATAGGGAGTTGAAGAAAGAGCCCAGATGACGGCCGAACCCCGGGGGTACGCCCTGCATAGGGAGGGGGCGGTGCGAAAAGCAAACCGCTAGAGACGCCCCCACATACAATAAGCTTTTAAAGAGAAGAGATGTGACAATGCTCAACTAGGCCCCCTCCAACGGCAATAGTGGACAGGCCCTGTTGCCTTCCAAAGCAGCTCGAGCTCCCCGTCGGACTGCGACCAAGGTCGAAGCGCCCGGGAAACGTTTCGACCTTGAGCCAAAATGGCTACGGAAATAGTGATGAGGGTGATGCTGATGAAGATGATGTTTTTGATGGTGATGGCGATGACGATGGTGATGATGATGCTGCTGTTGATGATGGTAATCGTGTCGTTGATGGTGACGGTGATAGTGATGGTGATGACGCGATGCTGATGATGAAAAGAAGGGAGAGGTGGAGGAGGAGGGATAGTGAAGAGTGAGGAGTGGGGAGCGAGGATGACGAAAAATGGGATAATGAGGATGAGGATGATAATGAATAAGGAGGGGGGATGAAGAAGAGGGGGTGGGGAAGGAGGAGGAAGAGGAGGAGGGACGAGTCCGTCCACCGTCCGCGGTTCTGTAGAAGACCAATTGTACTCCAGTGCTGGGGGGATCAATCTGTACCCCGGCGCCCAACAAATTCAATGGTAGCCCGCCACACTATGCTTTTTTGCAATCTGCCGCACAAAGCATCCTTCTGTAACCCGTCACTTTTTGTAAGCCGCCAAAAACGGATTTCTTTCCCCAACCCCCTCCTGTAGGAATCCGTTCTGCAATCCGCCACAAGAAAGATCCTTCTGTTAAGCCGCCACGCAAGGAATCCTTTTTGGCCCCCCTGCAACCGGAATCGTTTTTCAAGCCGCCACGGGAGGCAAAAGGTTTTCCGTTGCAACCAACCGCATAAGAAATTCCCCCGGGGAGCCATCACGACAAGGAGTTCGCTGTAATCTGAAAGGGAGGGTGCAACTTTTCATGTGTGTCCTCTCCCCGCCCTTAGAGGCTGACTTTTTTCCCATGCTTCACGCGCAGGCCAGGCATTTGTCTTCCTGCTATCTTTCGTCCCAACCATCCTGTGGCGTTGGATCCTCCTTTTGCGAAGACAGTTCCCCGTTTTTCTTTCTTCCTCTCCTCATCCCCCTCTTCCTCCTTCCATCCTCCAACTGCCCCCCCTCCTCGTCCCACCCCTGCATCCGCCCTCCGCAAAGCCTCATCTTCACCATGATCATCATCCCCACCACCATCATCATCAGCATCATCACCATCATCGTTATCACCATGGCCATCGCCATCATCAACATCATCACCGTCGACATCGCCAGCAGCACTGACACACTCTCTGAATCGATATATGCACACATCTGCGGCATCTACCCTCTGCACTCGCTCCGCACGTCGCTCCCCAACCCACAGGGGTCTGTACCCCTCCCCCGTAATAGGGACATATTTTAATAGCGCGGGTTTGTTGAAGGATCGGGGCCCATGACATTTGTTGGTAAATAAGTATTCCCCTGCGGAAGCTACCGCTCAGGCATCCACCGTCGTCGCTGTCGTTGTTGCCGACGGCGGCGACTAAAAACACTAGCCTTGGATGCCCGAAATGGGTACGGAAAGAATGGGTACAATGCTCAACAACACATGTTGTCCCAAACCAACAGCGGCCGCTGTTGGGCAGGCGGCCTTCTGTCTCAAATGGACACAGGCCGCGGCGACACCGACAGCGAGCCCTGTTCAGAATGGACAGAAACTGCTGTTGGGCATTGTACCCATTCTTTCCGTACCAATTTCGGGCGTCCAAACTAGCGACTAGGACGCCGACGACGGGTACGAAGACGCCGCGCCGACTCGGCTGGATATGTTAATCAAACTATCGTTCAATCCGTGTTGGAAAAACTCAAGCTTCCTCTGTCCTCCAAGGTAGCCCAGGTGGTACCCGCTCGGGTAAAAAAAGCGCCGAAGGATTTTCAGCACGGTCAACGGTAGTGAACAAAAAATGCTGGGCGCCGGCGACGACAACGGATACGATTACGACAAGGACGCCGACGACGAGGGCGACGACGTCGCGGACGCCTCCTCCTCGTCTCCCCCATCATCCTCCTCCTCCTCCCCATTCCCCTTCCGCTCGGCATCCTCCTCCGCCGCTTCCTCCTCCTCTACCCTTTTCCATTGCACATTACCGTGGATTAAACTTTCCAGCCGGCACTGCACCGGGCCGAAGCCCAGATCCACCGTCCGGCGGTGCAACCTCTGGGTCTGGCCTGCATCTGCGTCCGGGTACCTGCTGAGAGGTCGCGCTGCGCACGCCGGTGGACAGTAGGGTCGGGGAGGCCAGGAACATTTGATGAGGGGGAGGGGGATGAGGACGATGAGTGAGGGCGCGCGACTCCGCACACCTCCCCACAACTGTCCTCCTGTCTCGCAGTCCTCCTCCTCCTCCTCTTTCTCCTGCTCCTCCTCCTCCTCCTGCCCCTCCTCCTCCTCCTCCTCCTCCTCCTCATCATCATCATCATCATGCTCTCATCCATAATTACCATGCCTTCTCGACATGTATGTCGAAGATACCGGACCTAAATCCAGCGACGAAGCAAATTCGAAAGAAACTCGGAACTACCTGGGGGCTTACCCAACCGTTTGTACACATGAGGTGACTATACATCGGACCGCGCAAGACAAAACCAAGCACTGAAAGACACACCGTGCTCTTGAACGCTTCGTAAAGGAACGTTGGGGCAAAGCCAACTGTTTCACATTCGCGACATGACCCCTGGGAGTTAGCTCGTTGGCAGGAAGGCGACCACGAGGGGGCGTGAAACATACTGGTGAAGGGGAACTGGTGATATGCTTCGTGGGAGTAACAGCGCATCGCGCTAGGTTCTCATTGCAGAACAGCGCCATGCGCGCTATGACAGAACAGCGTCCAGCGATAAGCGCTGCAAGCACCCTAGTGCACTACGGACACAAGGCAACTGAAATATCGATGCGGCATGAGCACATGACAGCACCATGCACTCCGTGGTATTCCATCCCGCTACGATCTGCGATCGAACAACGCAACGAGGTCTCATGGCGGTCCCCGTGGGACACCCCTCCGCTGGGCCTCCCGGACGCCTACGAAAATGAGGAGGAGAAGGATGAGGAGGAAGAGTAGGAGGAGGAGGAGGAGGAGGACGGGCAGTAGAAGGCGGGGCAACACAGTGCTCTATTCAAAAAGAGTACCCAACACAAGAAGGTTTGGAAAAAAAGAACTTCAACGTCCCCCATAGGCTGGGGGTGGCCGAATATGGAAAAACTGTCGGGGGCTGGAACCGTGAGCGGTCAGCTCCAGCAACTTGTTCCAGCTTCCCTGGTACCTGAATGGAGGCCACTCAGTCTCATGTTAAAACGCGAGCAGAAAAAAAAAGGAAGCAAGGAATGGCGCTCGACCAACATCCAAATCAGAGGTTCCCCCCCGAACTATGGCAGGTAACATGCCTCCCCGCCATGTCTGCAGATTGTTAGGAACTCTTAGCCCGCCAATTCCCCCAGTCGTTCTGCTCCTGATACTAATTCTGATCCTGCTCTTCACTACCTTGCTAATCTTTCATTCCTCATCTCCCTGCCCTCCGTCTCTTCCTCCTCCTCCTCCTCCTCCTCCTCCTCCAGTCTCCCATGCAGACTGCGCAGCAAACGATGTGTCACAAAGAACCCCTTGCCAGCGGATCTAAAGGACTAGAACGCAATGGGAAGTGACATGGGAGAGACAGGATGTAAAATATGGGGCGAGCGGAATTCGCCTGCCCCTTAGACTCGTAGGCATGCACCCGAATAGTACCCGAGTGTAATTATAATCTGCATATGGCAATCGCCTAAAGGTCATACATCCTCATCTTGAACCGTACCCAATTCAGCTTTACTACAATTGGGTCTCCACTGAAATGCCTGCGCGTCATCATTTCTCCTCATGTCGTGCCTGATCCTCTCGACGTTCACGAGACCTCCCCCTCGTCCATCCACTAGACAGGTCCTATCACACTCCTCTCACCCATCGAGTTTCTCCCTTCTCACCCTCCTCCTCCTCCTCCTCCTCCTCCTCCTCCTCCCCCTCCTCCTCCTCCTCCTCCTCCTCCTCCTCCTCCTCCTCCTCCTCCTCCCCCGCTCCATCATCATGATCACCAATCGGCATCAGCATTAGCAGCAACGACAATAGCATCAATACCATCGTTACCATTCCTCATTCCTCCTCCTCATTCTCCTGCTCCTCCTCCTATCCGTCCC